CTGGAATTCTAATACCAAAAAACCAACCAATATTTTCAAGATTGAGTTTCTTCTGCATGGGATAAGGTTCCTTCCCACAAAAGTCGGTATTTAATTTCCATTTCTTTTGTTATTTCGTTCAAATTTATATATATAGAGTCGACTGTGTTGATCACGAATATCACAAATAAACTCTCTCTAAGAGCCATTGCACGAGAAAAACGCCTGCTTATCACACAACAATGCTCAACGACCATCTCGAATTTTTTACTAAGTAGTTTCATCTGGTAGAGCATGTTTGAAAACCTATCAATCCAAATTTTTAATCTTATCGGATGGTAGATTTCAGAGATACAGCAAGAGTTTTCCCGAGTGCCTAACATACAGCTTTGGCGCCGGAAAATGGAAAGAAAGCGTAAAAATGCCATTACACCGTCAATAAGAATGATCAGACTGAGATTTTTACACCATATCTAATCTATGATGTCCTCTATTCGATGGCATTGTTGTATTTCTTCATCTCGAATCTTCAGTTCAAAAACCCGCGTTTCTGGAGAACCGCACAGGTTAAGCTAGCTGGGTTCCATTCTCGAGCGCTTCCACCTACAAAGAATCCAGAACAATATTTCCTTATGCATTCAGCCATGAGCTACCTAAATCCGTTTTCTAAAGTTTAAACCCTGGAAGAGATCTCTGGAAAAGCGACATAGGTTTTCTAGCAAACGCTTGAGCTTCTTCGAAAATTTTTTATAAATTACCTAAATAAAACAAGCATAAAATTTCTGAACACAATGAAGTATGACTTAAGGGTTTAAGGACAATCTTAAAAGAATTATAGACTACTAGATTTTCAAGCCAAAAGATCTTAGATTAGAAACAGCATTTTTTACATGCCGATTTTTCTGCTTAAGCAAAGTTGAAGAACATTAAATTATATATCATTTTGTTCAGAATTGTATGCTCTTTTTGGTTACGCAATATACAAAATTTTTCAAAGAAGCTCAACGGTTTGCTAGAAAACCTATGTCAGTTTTGCAGACACCCTTTCCAAAGCTTAAAATTTTGAAAATGGATTTAGAGAGCTCATGGCTGAATGCATAAGAAAAGATTGTTCTGGATTCGTTGTAGGTAGAAGCGCTCGAGAATGGAACCCAGCTAGCTTAACCTATGCGGTTCTCCAGAAACGCGGGTTTTTGAACTGAAGATTCGAGATAAAAGCTCTGTTTAGTGCAAAAGGAATCAGATTTTTGAAAAGTATTGAGTACCCGAAAATACCAGAACACTGTTTTAATCTGTTTTATGCGGTCCACCGCTGGTCCCGAGGCAGGCTTGCTACAACTCGAAACTATGCCGCAAACCACAGCTTTTCAAGTTCTTGCTGATGGCGGGATCAAAACTTCGAAAAAATCGATGCGTCAGGTCTCCAGAAAACTTTTCCATGATCTTCCAGGATTTTAAGCAAACTAATTTTACTATAGTTATCAGCATATTTGATTACATATTTAGACATGTCTTTGCTAAATTTTAGGCTTTACAGCTTGCGAGGAAAAGTTACTTAAATTTGCATGTTAAAACATTGAATAGCTTTTCAATCAAAAATCTGATTCCTTTTGCATTAAACAGTGCATGTTGTACGGGCTATAATGCTTTTGGGTATTTTTCCACACTGGAATCGATACAGATTATGTGGACTCGTGGGGATGTCTAACAGTGACGTATTCTATGTATTTGTGTGACTATCATAATCTAATCTTCTTGAATTGATTTTGTTTCCTTAACGATTATCGTGCTATGTTCTGTGTTTAAAAGCGGCCATGAAAACTCTTGCATCTTATTGGTGGGAATATCATCTTCAACGCTACAATCCAACTTAGATTAACTTCTACCCAGTCAACAGTTACAATTTATTACTAGATAAATAAATTGCGCCGTTTCTAGAATAAATGGCTCCCTATCGTGCCAAGAAAAAATGTCTCGTAGGAGGAAATTTCTACCATAAATGGCTGTTTTCTAGAATAAATGGCATAAATGGCTCTTGTACTTGCATAAATGGCTCCTATCGTGCAAAGAAAAAATGTGTGCTAGGAGGAAATATCTAGCATAAATGGCTTTTTTTCTCGAATAAATGACTAAGCCACAAGTCTTTTGTTCTTTTTTGTGATATCCTGCACTTTAGTAAAAATAAACTCTTATCTATCTTATCTAAGCTATTTATTGTTTCCTAGAATAAATGGCTGTATGGGCGACGAGAAAAGCTTAGCACTGGAGTTCGTTCCCTAGAGAAAAAGAGTTTGTGAAATCTATAAGAATCTCACAAGAATTCATCAGAAATTGGTAAGAGTCAGCAAAACTCGTACATTATTCTTATCAGATTGTTATACGATTCTTATAAGATTCTTGTAGGATTCTTATGAGAAACATGCTCGAATCTCCTACAGAAAATTCCCAGTATAGTGCTGAAAAACGTACGGCACTACCAGTGCGGACGGCATGCTNAAGGTAAATGACTGACCCTGACTGCATTATGTTCCCGAAGAGAAAACAACACGGTGAAATCACTGTTTCAGCTACCTTAGGACACACTTTCTATTTAAGCGACTCTTTTATATCAAAAGTTTTTCTTCGTTCCCTAGAGAAAAAGAGTTTGTGAAATCTATAAGAATCTCACAAGAATTCATCAGAAATTGGTAAGAGTCAGCAAAACTCGTACATTATTCTTATCAGATTGTTATACGATTCTTATAAGATTCTTGTAGGATTCTTATGAGAAACATGCTCGAATCTCCTACAGAAAATTCCCAGTATAGTGCTGAAAAACGTACGGCACTACCAGTGCGGACGGCATGCTATGTTGCACCGGTACGTACTAGTTCCACATTATTCCAGCCACCGTTTATTATCTACGATTGCACTATGTTTTACTCGGACTTTTCTTCGAGAACATACTGCAATGAAATTATAATGCGAGCAGACAATGTTTTGATCTTCTTATAATCTTTATCTGAAAAGAAAAAATCAGTATAAATAGCGCGTCAGGTAATAAATTCAGAGGATGTACACAGTAAATTCAGCTCTCTGTTTCCTTATCTAAATAGGTCTCATTTTCTAGTGTAAAAAAGTACCTTATATAACTAACAGACACTGTTTTACGTCTCGTTTAAAATGAGAAAAAAACGTTCGTATCGTCAATGATACACGTGGCGAGTGTATATGTATACGTTTATATCATGTGGATAAGTACGTGGAGCAGTCTATTTTTTTCTAACAGTTTGAAGAAACATGCTTCCTATAGACGTATACGCACGGAGGATTGGGGTTCAGCCATTCCGCCTCATTCGCAGAATATTAGATTGGCTGTAATAACGAACTGATCCTAGCAATAATATATACGGACATACATAGCTAGTGTTACCTTACGGTAAATCTCACAGACGAGCTAAAAACCATTTAACCACTCTCACTTTTATTCTGAGATCAAATGCCAGTTATATGGTAAACCATAATTGAGAAATACATAAAAAAAAGCTATTAATACGGTTCTTATGACAAGTAGAAAGGATTTAGACAAAGAGAGGGTGTGTTAAAACTGCCGTGTACAAGTCTGATCTCAACTTCAAAGTGAGTCTAAGGTAAATGACTGACCCTGACTGCATTATGTTCCCGAAGAGAAAACAACACGGTGAAATCACTGTTTCAGCTACCTTAGGACACACTTTCTATTTAAGCGACTCTTTTATATCAAAAGTTTTTCTTTTTCACTTTTTGACAAAATATGCTAGAAGTCATTTATGCTAGAGGTTAATAAATGGCAGAGCCGTTTAGGCTAGGAAAAAAGCCATTTCTGCTAGAGAACCCTTCCGGATAGACAAATTATGAAAGAGAAAGAGCCGCTTATGCTCGAGAGTAATGTTATTTATGCTAGAGATTAATAAATGGCAGAGCCATTTATGCTAGAAATTAGCCGTTTATGCTAGAGAACCTTCCCGGATAGGCAACTGCATAGCGATTTATTCGGAAAAAAGTGTGGGTAAGCCATTTATTCTAGAAACGGCGCAATTTATTATTTTCTTAATAAATTGTAAGCCCTCGCTATCCAGTCAGTCCAGAAAAGCGCAGGAAACTCTGTTTACGAAAAATTTAACGAGTTTAGCGAGTTTCGAATAATAACGCGCAAGAAGCTGCGAGTGTGTAAAAATAAACCGCACGAACACGCGTGTAAAGCCTTTGTTTCCACGTCAACGTGCGTTTCCTACGATTTATTTTTACACACTCGCAGCTTCTTGTGCGTTATTATTCGAAACTCGCTAAACGCGTAAAATTTTTGTAAACACAGTTTCCTCCGCTTTTCTGGAATGACTATGACTGACTGGGAATTGTCAACGTCTGCTACGTTGAAGCTATAGCAGTTAGTTATATTTAGATATGCACCAGTTCCAAGTAACTGAAATTGCTTAGAGCTGATACTGTCAAGAACTGTTGGAAAACATTTTCCAAATGGATTCAACAGAAACTTTATTCTTTTGAAGAAAATGCAGATAAAAAGCTCGAAAGTCTTTTAACAGAAACGTTTCTTGAAGCTGGAATTTTTGGACTGTGAGTAATCGACTATGCAGCTCCTAACGAGACTGCTCCTGTGATTCATATAGCTTACTGACGATCTCTATGGAAGTGTGACTCCACTTAGAGATGCGTAAAGAAGTTCAAAAAATAGTGAATTATTGTCTGTATATATTCTATAAAAATACAAAAGGGAAGAATATCCCTACGTAAAAGTTTTCTGTTCAAATTATTTTGTTTATGTAATTTAATTAATTTAGCTAATCTTTGTATCCACTGAGGAAGATTGAACTATCAATCGAAGCGTTTGGAATAAATAAAGTTAGTACGAAGAAAAAGTACTCATTAAAATTTGAAAAAATTTAAAAGGTTCAGCAGATTTTATAGAGATCATCAGTGATTTATATGAACCACAGGAGGCGAATCGGGAAGTACGTCAATATGACTTTCGCCAAACGGGAATTTCGCCAATTGTCAAAGGCCCACTTGACTTTCGTCAATATCATCAGTGTACTTGTACCGATTGGCGAAAGTACACCGAACTTTCGTCAATACTATCCATGGATTTTTGCCAGTAATTCAGTTGCATGGTCCCTTCATGCAAGTTACAATTTTTTTAAATGAAAAAAGGACATGACTTGCATTGAGAGACAATACAACTCGAGTCATAACTGGTGAAAGCAAAGTGGACTTTTGGCAATATCACCGGTGGACTTTCGCCAACTAGACGTTCGCCAATTGTCGAACGTCTAGTTAGCGAAAGTCATATTGGCGTACTTCCATGATTCCCACAGGACCAGTTCCTTTAGGAGCTCTATAGTCGATTAGTACTTACAGTCCAGAAATTCCTGCTTCAAAAAGCATTCCTATTAAAACACTTCCGACCTTTTATCTGCATTATCTTCAATAGAATATAAAATTTCTGTTGAATTCTTTTGAAAAATTTCTTCCAAAAATTCCAGTTCTTACAGTTAAAAACTGGAACTGATGCATACCTAGTCATATTTTCTAAATTTCTAGCACAGCATACTGACATCACTTATAGTTGGGAGTAAACACAGCGGAAACCTATAACAATACCGGTTTAGGTGGATCAACGACGATAATATTTGTCTATTCAACACTTATTTTTATGATAATGTGGATAGATTTCGATCACACGATTCGAAAATGTAATCTCTTATAGCATGGTAAAGTAATGAGTGCACGCCAGCTGGTCCATAATTCATCAACCATGAGCAGCAATAAACAGCAGCTGCGTTATCGATTAGAGACGCCAGCGAATTATGCTCAACCATTATCGAAGAATGGTATGAATGGTACGTAACAATGAATACGGGCAATATTTCAACTAATTATTTTTTCTTTTATAGTATCGCTTATGAATCATAAACCATTGATTAACAAGCTTTATCATTCTGCTACAAATCTTCCATTATCACCACACCATCAACATCCAACTGTATTCCATGCTTCAAGCGGCCTTAAACAACAGAAATATGTTCTATCATCACCATGTGAAACACCCACTGGTACAGCAAATACTACATTAGTGCATGGAGTACCGCCCATAGTCGATTTGAATGCAACCATACCACGTGAAATAACAAAAATGCCCCACTGGTGGCTCACGTTACCCTGTCTGTTGACCATTATGATTCTAACAACAACTGACTCGCTGTTTATGAACGATTTTATTGTCACACGGTATGAACAATATTATCATTTAAATTCATCAAAATCATCCGAACGAATAGCTTGTCTAGCTTTGAAAAAGATAACAACAACACCGAGTCACTTCAATAATTATCGGTACTCTGTACAACAAGGAACAACAGCCACCTACAACATGGTACTGACAGCAGCAGCTAAACTAAATATCATCATGTCAGCTGTAGCCACCATACCTTCGTTGATCAGCTTTATTCTTCTTGGTTCTAACTGTGATATTATCGGTCGAAAACCATTGATCATTATTCCATTCATTGGGAAAGTACTACGCTATGCGTTGATGTTGATTATTGTTCAGAAAAATCTGGCTGATGTATGGATTATACTTGTCTCTGTTATTGATGGTCTGTTCGGCACAGCAGGTCTCGTCATAGTCAGTTCATTCGCCTATGTGACAGATTGTACGACACTGAAAAATCGAACGAAAGTATTTGTGATTGCAGAAGTAGCCATTTCGGTGGTACGCGTCGTCCCGCTGATTGGTCTCGGTGTATGGCTCAAATATCGGGGGTTCACGACTCCCATAACCGTCAATCTCATACTAAGTTTTCTGGGTCTTTTCTACGCAATCATATTGCAACCGGAATCAAAACAAAACGTCAAACATCTATCTTTCTTACAGCAATTGAAATCAGTTCGTCTGAAATCGATCGTACAAGTTATCAAAGTTTTCCTAGTTAAACGTCCGTTGAATAATCGAAAAACAATTATTCTAATCACATTTTCTCACATTTTACTCCTCATTATGTTATTCGGATATATTTCGATTTATAATCTTTATCTGTACGGGCGACCGTTCTGTTTTAGTCCACTCGATGTAAGTCTACTCTCGTCAGTGCAAATAATTATTATGGTCGTCCTTGTTGTTGTAATATTGAAATTAATTGGCCATCGGTCAGACAGTTTCGTGTTAACAATTCTGGGAGCTGTTACTTACATTCTACAGTTGGTAATGTTCGGATTAGTGAGAACAACATGGCTACTTTACATAGGTGAGTGTCAACGCCACCTATTGCGTCTAACAAATCTAGGATGTTGCAGTTTTCCTGCAGAGAATACTAAACTATGAGAACAAGATTTGTATAAAGTTCCGAATTTCCCGAAATATTGATGTCTCAAAAACTAGGTTTTCTGGCAAACCTGCCAAGTTTAAATTTCGCAATAAAGGAGAGGAGTTAAATTCATCAGAAAACGGCCCCTGAGTTTTTGCTTATTTTGACTTGACTGTTTTAGGAAAGACGTTTGGACACATGTTCCAGTTGTTCTTATGAAAAATAAGCTCAAAATACGTTTTTAACGTTGATTATTTTGAGATTCCATCGGAAGACGTCGTTGTTAGAAAAAATAATATTCCCTTGGCTGTAATGAAAAGGGTCTTACCAAGTTAAAAAATGCCTGTATGTTTGTACGTATGTCCACAACTGCAAGGAGCGACAAATAAAATGGGTCTATGTTTGTAGTTTGATGGCATACAGCCATGCAACTTTTACCGTAGAGATATTAGATTACGGGCAATCAGAAGATGATTTTGAGCGACCTTTAAGATCAATTCTATTGGTCGAAATTTTCATCTCAGCTTGATTGCATGATAATGATATTTCCTTGAGTTTAGTCTGAATCTTACAAGATGGTTGTCTGTGTGTCTGTGCGCAAAATATGAAAAAATGACTGGTAGTTTTTTTTCTTCTCTGCAGTTCGAAGACAGATGTCGCCAGAAATCAGTCAGTTTTGATAACACAAAAGAGTCATGTACGAATAATAAAACTTACAGAATACAGATAGTCTAACATAGCGAATCGATTAGGAATGCGTCGAGCCCCCTTGAGATCTACAGAGGGTGTCCAGAAAACGTTTTAGCTTTGTGCTACATTGTGCGCTTTTCCGTGGAATGAGAGAAGCTTGCAACATTTCTCAGCTATTCTGGGGGCGAACGCCGACCGAAGGAAGGCGTGAGAATTGTCCTGAATTTAGAAATATTTTTAGATCCCTTGGGATTTTTAGAGAGTCTGGAGAAAACTTTTAAGCTCTCTATCAGATTACGAAGGTTACAGCTAAACTCAAAGAAAAAATCATAACGTATTTTAGATTAGTCACCTAATAGGACTTTAAGTGTTAGGAATATACCTCATTTATTTCTTGCGCTGCAAGAACACCGATGGTCGTCAAAACTGTGGTAGTACTTGCTTGCTGCTACTCGTTAGGAATGTACTTCAGAAAGTAATGTGAACAAGAACGATAATTATTTTTGTTAGTAGAAACAATTTGATATTGACAATTCCTTTCCAGTCAACGGATAAATCAGAATGATGAACGCTACTTGTTTTTGAAAAACTGAATAAAATGGTATATGAACAATAGTTCCCTACCATATTACTAAGGAGAAATGGTTTATTTTCAAGCGGCTCCTACCTAGTGACCATGTTTGAGTGATCATATTTTCCCATTTTCTCCCATAAGCAAAAGAGGATCCAACTAGTGTTTAGTATAGAAGAAAAGCTCTACAGATCATTGGCTCAATCCATTATAATTCAAATACGAGAAAAATCAAAGAAATGTACTTATATCTTTAAGTTTTCACCATCAAATTTCAGTTTTTCTTAAAATCAACATCGTATTTGGAACCACCGTTAAAAACTGCACTGAATAATCTTTGTTTGGGAATTCAGCAAAAATCTCGGTCGAATAATTCGAAAAAAATCAAAATCGTCTAAAAATTTCGAAACAAAGATTGTTCAGTGCAGTTTTTCTCTTCTTAGTAATACGGTACGGAACCATCGTTCATATATTGTTTTGTTCAGTTTTTCATCGGCTATTTTTCTATATTAAACACAAGTTGGATCCTCGTTTGCATATGGAGAAAAGAGTACTTAAAACATCGCTGATATCGTCTTTTAGGTGCAATTTCGTCTCTTGTAAAAAGAATTTCTTTCTATTGAAATGATGTATAAGGATTGTTCATAGACTATTTTATTCAGTGTTTCGCTGACTATTTTTTCATATCAAGGTTTGTGTGAAACCTATGCTGAATTTTTCGCAAATAGCATTTTTTCTAACAACGAACGTCTTCCGATGGAATCTCGAAAGAATCAACGTTAAAAACGTATTTTGAGCTTATTTTTCATAAGAACAACTGGAGCATGTGTCCAAACGTCTTTTCTAAAACAGTCAAGTCAAGATAAGTAAAAACTCAGGGACCGTTTCCTGATGAGGTTAACCCCCCTCTGTTCTTTTGACCATGTAGCATAGAAGATCCACTAAATTCTAAACAAAATAAGATGTTTTCCAGCATGGGTTTTGGAAATATGTGATTTGTATATTTTTTAGCTATCTGTGTTGGAAGTTTCTTTTTCGTTACGATTCCCACTCTTCGTTCGAAAGTAACAAAGTTAGTTGAAGAAGGCGAATATGCGATGATTTTCATCGCAACTGGTATTATGGAGTCAGTGGGCAGCCATATGGTGGGCATCATAACGAACGCAATTTATAATGCGACGCTGCATTTTAATCCGGGAATGATATTTTTTATTTTAGCTATTACTGGAATTATAGCATTAATTTTCATAGGGTAAGTAATCACATTGTTTAATGACACAGGTATTTTCTAATTGTATTTTATTTTAGATATTTGTTATTTATGGAACGAAGAACTGATACAAAATTAGTTGTAATCTCGGTCATAAAGTATTAAAACAGACAGTGTACACTGTAAAAACAAGCTGTCAGACTTGACTAATTAATATAACTTTACGACTACAATTCAGTAAAAGCGTTAAATTAATTAGCAGCACTTTTCTGGGAAGTGTTGAAGTTATTTATGTCATCTTTTTGATTAAGTTTCTATTTCTAATTCAGGATTCGACTGCGAAGGAAAAAAGAAAAATCATCAGCTGAAAGCGGCAGCCATTAAAATAGTTTTCGATAATTTGCTTAAAACTGGAAAACATTTCAAGTATTTTATTTTACAAGTACATTTTTCTGTTGCTTAACATATTTTACCTTTGTAATGGGCTTGCAACTATTTCTGCAAGCAGCTTTGAGAATTTTAGTAAATAACCAATTTTCACGGCAATTATATAGAAGTTTGGAGTAGAAACCAAATTGGCACGTTAATCACTATTCGAAACATGATTAGTATAAATGAGAACGAACGTTCTTGACAAAAATCTATTAATTGAATGACGTTCATGAATCAATCTCGCATTTCTAAGTGATAGTTTTGTTGTATTTTATAATATTGTTAAGCATAAATGAGCACCATCGATTTTATTTTAATCTGTTCGATACGTTCATTTGCTTCATATGATATCGGTGGCTCATGTCCCTTTGATATATCTTATCCGAATATATCCCATTCTTCGATACAGGTGCCGTCATCATACTTGCTCGTCATTAGCACCTTGTTCAACCATGCACCATTTCTGCAAACCCTGTCGAACGACCGTTAGATTCAGAGTTTGGATGTCAAACGGATATAGAGTATCTCCTATCACAGCAAGAAATTGTTTGAGAAACAATGACTAACAAATAGGGGTGGGACAGTCAGAGATGCAGAATTTACCCGTGAACTTGGAAAATTTCCCTCGACAGAAAAAGTTTTTTCAAAAACTTCTCCGACATAATCTACAAATAGACTTTCTTTTTACAGTATATTTGCAAAAAATTTCCATAAATCAATAAGTTTCCCCCCCGACGACCGTCGGAGCAAACAGGCAGATTCTGCAGCTCTGGGGACAGTTCCAGTTCAGATCTATTGAACGAAAAATGCTTACCAGTTCTTTTCAAAAGAACGGGAACTGGTACCAGTTCTCTTCAAAAATTAAAAATTAAATAAAACCGGTGAACCTAGGTACATTGACTTTGTGTAGGGCACCAGAGGTAGATGGTGTGTTTAGTTGACTAAACGTTTTCTTTTGCTTGTTGGAATTGAATAATTCTAATAGGCGTCCTGCACGGGAAAACTATCTCCGAATCCTACTACGTTCCGGAACTCTTCTATGATTTATAAGGGTTTCTCGAGATCCCCTTTCTTTTGTCTCTAGAAATTTTTCTCCAGAACCTTTGGAAGTAGAATTTTCAGAAAACCGTGGCTTTTAGACTGCATTAGTTGAATTAAATGTGTTTTGAAAATCACCGTTAGGACATTTCTGTTTACCATGACATCACTATTATTAAGTAACAAGTACTCCCGGGAGTGTGCGCATATACGAATACTTTCGTTTGATGTTGCCTTGTTATTCACTAAACATCCCAAGAAATGTACATATATAGCTGACGGTTTTTGAAATTTCATTGCTTTTTTATTTTTGAAATCTGATCGACAATATCGGCAAACATTAAACTGTAATCTTCCATATTCTTTCGCTTCATCGGACGATGTAGCTATGTGTAATACTTTCCATTCTTGCTTCGATATTTTTTTGATGATATCATCTGTAGTTTAGGGCAGTTATTTATAGCTCTTGTGAGTTGAGAAAACCAATAACATTCAAAAAACTTAACCACTGGCAATTGAATTTCAAAAACCGTCAGCTATTGACATATTTCATATATCTTTCATGTTTCTATTCATACTTCTTCTTGTATATGAAGATGATGATTTATTGCGTGAGAAATGTTCGGGCCTGTTACACGCTTGCACTACAGTGTAGATAAAATGAAAATTCTATAAAAAAGTATTAAAAGGTTGTGAAAAGAAAAGTTTCCGTATAACGGTTACAATAAAAAATATAAATGAAGGGGTAAGCTGCACTCGCTCGTTAGACACAAATACATTTTTAGACTATAACTCTAATAGTCTGCATACATTAGTTTTTATAGGACTCAATCTCACGCGGAAAGAATTTGTTTCAAATTTCCGGTCATGCATGAGATATAAGTTGACAATAAAAATAACAAGTTCATTGGTTACAGTAACTTGTTTTATGAAAGATAGGTGGAATATACATATGTGACAGTGCTATACACATACTTACAGAAAGAAAGCAAGAAAGAAAATGTATACGCCATACCACCAGCAAAAGAATCTTCATCTTGTCTGAGATAATCTTACTTTGTTTAAATTATAAATTACTTATTAGTAATAATTTTTTCTGATCGAATTTCTTTTAGAACTATAATTTTAATTTAAGAACTTAACGAAAAAATACTTTACTTGTATATTAATTATCAAATTCAGCATATATTTTTTAGAAAAAGGTTTCTTTTAGTTTTTAAGAAATAGAGCAGCCAATATCAAAGATAAACGTTAGTAAAATGGATCAGTTTCAAATTCAATTTTAGCGATTTCATCGCAAAAAATAAATATTCGACCAGTATCGATTTTGAGCCAAAACGCAAAAAAAGATGAAATTCCGTGACGACGACTACTTTTGAAGTTTCTTTGAGTGAATTGATCTGTTTCAACAAAACGAGCAGATATTCTGTAAGCTCATTTCAAATTTTACAACTTTTGCCTGGAAAGTTTTCCTGTAGGTATCTTAGTTTCGTATAAAAATGCAATGCTTTGGTGCCCGATCCATGAAGAATTCGATTTTGTGAAATTCCGTGACGGACGATATTTTTTTAATAATTCCCAAACCACTCGTCCAAATGCTCTCAAATTTTTACTGGTAATAGAACACGTGACTACCAATCTATGGTAAATATTTCAAAGCGTCTACTTTATCGGTTCAAAAGTTAGAAGGCAAATATGGCGAAAAAATGAAATTCCGTGACATTTGGCCAAGCCGTACTGTGCAATTCACGCTTTACTAACGCTAGGACAGATTTAACCGGCAATTTGTCTCGTAACTACCCATTATATCACACCTTAGAGGAAGATAATAGAAAGTTCCTTTTTTACCATGAGTGTAGTCCGATCACACGATGATCCTGTAAAAATAAAAAAGACTAAAATTGCTTTATAAGGGAGTAAACTAGAAAATGTCGCGTAATCGTTTTCTTTTAGTTTTTTTGTAACTTTAACGTAACACGCGTGAACGAAAAGTTTTGGAAGTAGGCTTTTGCAACATAGAAAAGGATGTGCATATACAGCGCTCATATGGGTCAAAAAAGGGTTTCTGAAAATCCGGAGTTTTCAGAAAACTAGCGGTACTGGAAGTTTTGCGAAACCGTTTTTGAGTATACCGGTAGATGATGCACACTTTTTAATCTTCAGTTATCTAGTTTTAGAGTAGTCTCAGTTATTTGTAAATGAAAATCAATGGAAAAGGTCTTATCTCCCTGCATTCAAAATCCATGGTTTTTGAAAATTCAGGACACACAGAAGCAGTAGTTTGCAAACTTACTTTACTTCTGCTGGTACTACTAGGTATCAACTATCGATATATAATATTCAACTATACAAGCGTTTGCTTTTTCTTCTGGTCAAATTTTTGAAAATAAACGGTACTACTTTTATGAGAATTACTTGTATCTATTTAGCAAAAAAATGAATAAATTCATAATCACTGATTACTAATATTAAAAACTAACAACACTACTGGTTAACCATCAAAAAGAATGGATGGGTTTAGAGCAAACGATAGTGCTTAACTAGAAAGAACGCGATGCATTTCGCATCTAGAATAAACCCATTTTCGAACACTTTGTTCAATCTGATGTGATGAAAGTTTATTCCCAAGCAGAAAAAAATATCGACTGTCGGACGATACCTAACTCAATATACTACCCGATATAGCTGCTTAACATTTCAAATCAGGTCATTTACTATCGGACGATATAGCTAGCTAACACGATACATTACTGGATATACCAAGCTAACTTAACCCTTTACACCCGGCGGTCCCTTCCAAGGGACATTGATGTAATAGATTTATACAAAGAACGGATCATCAGGCCATAAGTTAGATTATTACTAATGTAGGACAATAGAGTAGCCTAACTTTTGATTGAAATTAGAAAAAAAACATTTCCATTTTAATCCGATATTTTTGAATTTTAAAATTGAATAAAGTTCAAAAATGAATTTTTTGGTTTTAGATATTTTCTGTACTTGTAGCCACTAAATCATTTTCTAATTTTGTAGTTGTTAGGATCCTGGAGAGATCCTAAGACGGAAGAAGACAGCCCGGTAGTGTAATGGCAGTACGTCCGACCGGTAATCGGAAGGTCTGGGGTTCAATTCCTCAGTCGGGCAGTGGTCTTTTTCCGTTCTGTCGTGATATAACATCTCGCTGGGTGATTACGGGGCGTAACAATGGTGCCGTGACCCGCATCCAGTAGACAGCACGCTCTGCCCAGATCTTAGGATCTCTCCAGGATCCTAACAGTAGTTGGTAGTTTTGGTTGTATGGATGTACTTTATAATGAAATCAAAGTAGACATTTTTGTAGCATTCTTCTTTGCGTAAAAGCGCTGTGGATTCGCTGTCCCTTGGAAGGGACATTCGGGTGTAACGACATGAAAAGTGAATTTTTTTATCTTAACATCTTGTTAGCGTAGGTCATTCTGTGATCACTCGCTACATATCTGAAGATGGACGAATGAAGAAAAAAAGATGTAACCAACAGTACAGTGCCGTCGCCGACAAATGTGAAGGCGTTTTTCTCTGATCGATATAAAAATTCTATCTAAGTGCGTTTTAAATACTGAATAAAATTAGGAAGCGTCTAAACTATCTTCAATTTTTTAAAAAACAAGATACGTCCGAACACACTTTTCTTCCTTGAGATAAAAAGAAGCTCATTT